TTTTGAATTTTCTGTAGGTGGAACCATACAGTATGTACCTTTTTGCATCTTTTTTTTTTTTTTTTTTGAGACAGAGTCGCGCTCTGTTGCCCAGGCTAGAGTGCCATGACATCAGCCTAGCTCACAGCAACCTCAAACTCCTGGGCTCAAGCAATCCTCCTGCCTCAGCCTCCCAAGTAGCTGGGACTACAGGCATGTGCCACCATGCCCAGCTAATTTTTTCTATATATTTTTAGTTGTCTAGCTAATTTCTTTCTATTTTTAGTAGAGATGGGGTCTCTCTCTTGCTCAGGTTGGTCTTGAACTCTTGAGCTCAAACAATCCACCTGCCTTGGCCTCTCAGAGTGCTAGGATTACAAGCGTGAGCCACCGTGCCTGGCCTGCATCCTTTTTTATTTTTAACACATTAACTGCTATGTGAGTTGTATTTAACTCATGCTAGTTTTGAGCCTGCATCCTGGTGAAGCATATGTAACTCAACGCATCTCTTTAGCTTGAGCACTGTGAACTATTTTTCACATTGCATATAACTCACACATAGAAAACAATAAAAAAATAACAAATTTTTGATTAAATTAGAAAGGATCATTTTGTTTTTGAACTTTTTATTCTATTTTCATAATAAAACACTGTGGCCCCAGGGGAAAAATGTCTTTTTTCTAGTGTGGCAGTCAATGTGTTAAACTCAACATTATGTTTTAGAGATTCATCCATATTGTGTTATGGCTATAGTTCATTTATTTTTATTGTTTGTATAGTATTGTATTGTATGACTATACCTCAATTTATTTATCCATTCTACAGTTCATGAACATTGGGGTTGTTCCAGTTTTTGGCTAATATGAACATTATATTAAATTGCATTTCCTTGATTACTAATAGGGTTGGGCATCTTTCATATGTCTGTTGGCTATTTGGATTCCCTTTTGTGAAGTGTATATTCAGGGTTTTTTAGGGCCCATTTTTCTATGAGATTTTTTATCTTTCTTACTGATTTATATGCATTCTTTATGCCGTTTGAGCTCTCTGTCAGTTTTATATACCCCAAATATATTCTCCTACTCCATGGCTTGTCATTTCACTCTCTTAATGTTGTCTTTTGATGAACAAAATTCTTATGTCTAATGTAGTCAAATTTATCAGTTTTTTTCATGATGGTTAGTATTTTTTGTGTGCATCTTGTTTAAGAAATCTTTCTCTACCCCAAGGTTAAGAAGATAGTCTCCTATGATACCTTCTAAAAGCTTTATTTTTTTTTTTTTTATCTCTTAGTTTGATTTTCACCTGTAAGCTACCTGGAGTTGCGTTTTATATATGGTGTGAGGTAGGGGTCCCCTTTTATATTTTCCATGTGGATACTCAGTTGTCCCAGCCACGTGTATTTTAAAGATGGTTCTTTCTCCATTGTCCTTCAGTTTTATCTTTGTCATAAATCAAGTGTTCATACATATTTGGACCTCTTTAAGAACATTCTATCCTATTCCATTAATCTATTTGTCTGTCCTCGAACCAAATATATGCTGTTTTAATTAATGTAGTATTACTCTAAGTCTTAATAATGGGTAGAGCAAATCCACTCTCTTCTTTCTTCTTCAAAAGTATCTTAACTCTTGTTAGTCCTTTTTATTAATGTTAAAATTTTCAGGCCGGGCACGGTGGCTCACGCCTGTAATCCTAGCACTCTGGGAGGCTGAGGCGGGCGGATGGCTCGAGGTCAGGAGTTCAAAACCAGCCTGAGCGAGACCCTGTCTCTACTAAAAATAGAAAGAAATTAATTGGACAACTAAAAATATATATACAAAAAATTAGCTGGGCATGGTGGCACATGCCTGTAGTCCCAGCTACTTGGGAGGCTGAGACAGGAGGATTGCCTGAACCCAGGAGTTTGAGGTTGCTGTGAGCTAGGCTGATGCCATGGCACTCACTCACTGATGCCTGGGCAACAAAGTGAGACTCTGTCTCAAAAAAAAAAAATTTTTTTTTTAGTAAATTTTAGAATATGCTTGTTGGGATTTTAATTGTGAGTGCAATAAATCTATATACCAATGTAGTATAGGATTAGTATTTTTATGATATTGAGTCTTTTAATCCATGAATATAGTGTTACTCCTCATTTATTTAGGTCTTCCATAATAAAAATTTACAGTTTTCTGGATAGAGGCCTTGAAATCTTCTGTTAGCTTTATTCCTAGCTTTATTTGATATTTTTGATGCAAATGGAAATAGTATGTTTCTCTTTTAGTTTAATAATCTAGCTGGTTATTACTTATATAGATAAATGCAGTTGATTTTTGGGTGATGAGCAACCTTGTGACACTCTCATAACTTCTAATGTCTTAGATTCTTTCAGTTTTTTACATGTACAATCATCTGCAAAATAATACTTTTGCTCCTTCTTTTAAAAATCGTCATGCTTTTAAATATATTTTTCTTGTCTCACTGTATCGGCTAAAACCTCTCTTGTAAATGTTGGAGTGGTTATTGTGGGAATCTTTGTTCTCATCCTGATATTCAAAGGAAAGCATTTGATATTTCACTATTAAGTTTGATGTTTGCTGAAGATTTATTGTAGGTACTCTTTATCACATTAATACATCCCTTCTTTTTCTGGTCTGCTGATAGTGTTTAACTAATAAATGAATGTTACACTTTATCAATTGCTTTTTTTTTGCATCTGTGAAATATGATTCTATTGCTTTATTACATTGATTGATTTTCTAACATTAAACCAACTTTGCATTCTTGAGATAAACTAAATTAATCAGGTATCCTCCTATTTTATATCATTGGACTTGGACTGCTTTTTTGTTGTTTAGGATTTTTGCATCTACATTATACATGATACTCATTTGTCTTCCCTTCTATTAATAATTAATTTTAATATCAAGTCTATATTAGCCTTGTAAGATGAGTTGAAGAAAATACCCTCTTCCACTTCTTGGAAGAGATCCTAAAAGATTGGCATAATTTCTTACTTAAGTATTGTGTGAAATTTACACATGTGTAATCTCTTTACATAAAAAAAGGCCACCCCCCAAATTACATTAAAGTGTACACAATTACATATAATTTCAATTTTATAAAATTATTAATCATGTGATATTATAATTATATAATTACAAAATTTAAAATTACAAATAGATAAAAAATCACTTCAATTACAATTTTACAAAAATTACACAATAAATTATGAAATTATATTACAAAACCTTCCCCCAAATAGGCTTTGGAGTCAGACAGTCTCCAGCATGAATCCTTGCTCTGCTGATAAGCTGTGTGGTCCTGTGTCAAACCTTTTACCTCCCTGAGCTCTCAATGTCCTTGTTTGTCATGCGGGTATAGAGAGTGTCAGGAGGAGTAAATGCAACAGCTATATGTAAAGCAATTAGCCCTGAGCTGGGCATCTACAATGGGTGTTCATACATGGTAATTTTGTTCACATTGTATGTTAATGATTCAATGATTCACTCCAGTGTTTATTGAGCATCTACTATGGGCCAGGCTAGGTGCTGAGCACTGAGGATACAACAGGAGGCAGAATTGGAGGTGGCCTTTGATGCAAGGATTGAGCGGCTGTTCCTGCAGATGGATGATCTGCCTCCACTGAAATGATCTCCTGGCCCATGTTTATGGTGCCACCTCTGTGCACCTCTTTTATTCTAGATGGGCAAGAGTAAGCAATAGCAGCCATTTCTGTCTGAAAAGGGGCAATCAGAGCCTAAGATTAAAGTCTTTGGAAACAAACTCGTGGCGGTCATATGCAAGGACCACTTTCTTTAGGAAGTGAATGAAGACATATTGCTTTTCCTAAACCACTTTCCCTGGTTGCATTTCTTGACAAGAGTCAAAGGTGTCATAAAAAGGACTGTCTCCATCGCCCTTGTCCTGCACATAATTTCCTCCAAACCCCACCAGCTTCTCTCCCGCTGCAGAGAGTTTCCCAGGAAACAGGTGCATGAGGACAGAGCCTGCTAAAGTTTCTGGCAGACTGGAAACTGAATCCAAGTGGCCTGAGGTCTAACTCTCCCTTACACCAGGTAATTTCTCCGCCTGCATCTGAGTTCATGAAATTAGTGATTCTCAGGTGGCCCATGGACTCCTCTAGTGCTCCTGGAAATCTTTGCACCAAGCCTTATTTTCTGCCACACATGGCTTTGATTCTCGGACACACACTTCTCAGATGGTTTTATGAGGCTCAGGGATAATACATATCTCCTGGCTTTATTTTGAGGATTCAGTGAGACACATTAGAAATGTGGTGATGCCCAGCAGGCAGCACAGAGCGTGGGCTTACTTATTTGACTATCTGTTGGGTCGGGGGACCAGTCTTGTCTCTCTATAGATATACATATATACAGGTTTATGAACATACAGTTGGAGATAAGCTCTGGATAGATAGATATACACATACGTACAGTATGTTCACATATATGTAGTATTCAATATTTCAACAAATAACTGAGTGCCTACTATATGCAATTCACCGTATTCATATTTATGTGGTTGGATCAATTGCTAGTCTTGTTTGCAAAATCTGAAAAAGGAATCTAACATTTGAGTTTACATGAGAAGTGTTGGGAAAATCATTTTCTAAAGTGAGCGATGATGGGGTAACAGGATTTGGGGGGATGGGCGTTCACAGGTTACCTGTTCCTCATTGATGGAGGTGTAGGTCTAACCCCAGGACAGTGAGAGATGGCCGTCCAGGGCACCACTGCGGACGACCTGGCATTCTGCCTCCTTGTCCAGTCAGACTCTGCCCGCCTGCAGTTTTGCCATTGTGGGGACGTCAGATGCTGATGGGTAGGATCAATGTGGAGGAAGTTGGCTCCACTAGGGTAGGGGATGAATGGCCACTACTGCTTGTGTGTGCCAAAGGGCCCAGCCGCCCTGGGAGGCTGGACAAGGAGAACGGGCGGGAGGAGGGGCACACTTCATTATCTTGTGAGCATTTGGCCCGAGTTCAGGGCTGGTGCTCTTGTTCGGAAAGATTTAGCTGGTGGTGCAGAGACCTGTGAGCTTTCTTTTACAGAACTTTCATGATATTTAAAGCTGCACGAGGTGCTCCTGATTGTGGATTTATTTGGAGATGAGTGTCTCCACTGAAGAGTGGCGAGAATCTGAAATTATTTAGAAATGCAAGTCTTAAAAAGTGCACTTGTTTGGAATGAGAATGAAAAACAGTGGCCAAAGAACAAATCTTCAACTGGCAAGACTTCTCGGGTAAGTTAAAAAAAAAAAATTCGGGCTGGGATTCAGATGAATTTGTGCTCGTAAGGATTAGGGCATGCAAAAGTGAGAACTCCAGCATGCAACAGTATTACTTGGAAGGTATTTAAAAATACAGATACTTGCATCTATTTGACTGCTCTGGAGCAATTACTGTTAGTTACTACTTAGTTACTGCTAAGTTTTCTACTACAGATGCAAGAAGAAAGTGTCTTCATAATTTCTTCCTGATTGTGGCAGCCAAGAACTGAATGGGGGAACATAGGAATAACAAAAACATGTGGGCAGGGAGATAATATTTGTAACTCAGAAATAACCTTGTAAACAGCAAAGAGACTGTTTTATTCCAAAAAAGAAGTCTAAAATTTGAGTTTATATGAGAAGTGTTGAAAAAATTTGTTTCCCTTATACCCTTGCCTTTTGTTTGATTCCATTTTATTTTATTTTTAGAATATTATGGAGGTACACGTGTTTTGGTTACATAAATTGTTTTTGTACTGTTTGAGTCAAAATTATAAGTGTGTCCGTAACTCAGATAGTGTGCATTGTACCCATTAGGTGTGAATTTACCCTCCTTCCCCCTCCCACCTGATTGATTTCTGCTGAATGTTTTTCCCATAAGTGTTGATCGATTAGTTCCAATTTAATGGTGAGTACATGCGGTGTTTGTTTCTCCATTCTTGTGATACTTCACTTAGGAGAATGGGCTCCAGCTCCATCCAGGTTAATACAAGAGCTATTAGTTCACTTTTTATGGCTGAGTAGTACTCCATGATATACATATACCACATTTTCTTAATCCATTCATGAATTGATGGACACTTGGGTTATTTCCACATCTTTGCAATTGTGAATTGTGCTGCTATAAACATTAGCGTGCAGGTGCCTTTTTTATAGAATGTCTTTTTTTTTCCTGGTTCATTCCATTTAAAAAATGTAATTTAAAGCTAAATGAAAATTCAGTATGGGAGGAGATATGGATTCCGGGGCCCCACTCACGGAGATTCAGATTCAGTGATCCAGGGTGGAAGACCCCAGATTCTGACTTCCTAACAAGCTCCCAGGGGATGCTGATGTAGCAAGGCTGCATACCTTACTTTAAGTGGCACCAAGTAAGGGACTGTTAATTTTCAGTTTTTGAAAGTATAGGTAGAGAATGGTTCTAAAATTTGGCTGCATTCTAATCAACCAGGAGCCTTAAAAATCTCCCAGTACCTTGCCTGTGTCCTAGGCCAGCTGCAGTGGAATCTCTGTTTGTGAGGTCCAGGCATCTGCATTTTTTAAAAGCTTCCCAGGTGGTTCAATGTGTAGCACAGGTAAGGAACCACTGCTCTATTCTAGGAGGAAATTATTTGGGGCAATGGCAACCAAAGTACTCCATCATCATGAGGTGTGTGTTAGAATCACTTTGGACCACAGATATTTTGGTCTGCTTTTTGGTAATGCTTCCTGTCCTATCTTGAAATGAAATTCACAGACAGTATAATCTTCTTACACACATCATTAAAAAAGTTCTTTTTCTAATCTAAAGGAAAAACAAAAAGGAAGTTAAAAAAGTAACCTTTGATAAATATATGTATTCAAGAAGCAAATGCTTGGGCACATGTTCTCTGGAAGACATAATGAAGCACCCAGTGTTTGTCCTCCCAGAAGTGGCGGTGACAGCCTCAAATCCAGACCACGGCACAACTGGCTTCATGGTCCTCGTGTGTTTTTCCAAATCGGTGAAAGTCTCTTAGTAAATTTCTGGACACAGCAAAGCACCTGGACTTTCCCCAGGTTCCTGCACAATTCGGCTTATAATAAACCAGGTAATAGCGCTCTGATTGATTGATTATACATCAGGATCTAGGCCAGGCGTCCTCAAACTACGGGCTGGTAGGCCACATGCCGCCTGCTGAGGACATTTATCCGGCCCAATGGGTGTTTTTTGCGGCCACTACCTGTCCTGCTTAGCAGCCAACTCATCCCTGGCCCACAGTGCGCACTCTCCAACTGTCTGAGGGACGGTGAACTGGCCCCCTGTTTAAAAAGTTTGAGGACCCCTGGTCTAGGCCAGGTAGTTATCAATAGGCTGTTCACCGACACACATTTCAGGCCGAATGGGACATTTCAGAAACTCAAGCCTTTCCCTTCCTCCCCTAAATGCCAGCATTTGGCACTATCACCGTGCAAGCACAAACCCTCCCCCCTGCCCCCAGATTTCTCAGGGCGCCCCCTTGAACACGGACGCAGAGTGATGGAATGAAATGGGCTCAGGGAAATGTACTCGGGTGCGAGTTCCGCTTTGCGCACTGGAACAGCATCCTGCAGACCACAGACCACGGCAGGTGGGCGACACTGTGATCACGGCTGGGCTCCCACCCCCAGGTAGCCGCAGAGGCCGGTCCACTCAAGGGAGTGGGGAAAGAAGGGTTGCAGGCTTCCGGCAAAGCACAACCCTCACTGAAAGTTCAGGTTCGGTTCGCAGCCCCAGAGCGCGCAGAGGGTCCCTTAAAGAAGAGCGAAGGCGCTGCCTCCCAGTCCCCTGCACCCCTCCCTCGAAGAGAAACCTGGGGAATATTTAGCAATCTCTACTGCCCTCTAGTGGCGGATGCTGGACATACCAGGCACCAAAAGTCTTAAATTAAATTTTTATTGTTTAAAAACCTATGCAAGTAAAATTTTAGGCCAGGCAGAAGGTTTATAGAGTAAAAATCTCAAGCTGTCTTGCATTTACTTTTCTCATCCCAATCTTAATACATCCCCAGAGGACGTTTCCACACTTTTCTATGCGTTTACAAATGATACATGTGTATATTATATATACATATATTCATTTCCATATGTGCACATTGAAATGTGGAAACACATATCATATGTGTACATATGATATATATGTCTTATATGTGCCCACAAAATAGACATTTTGTATGTGTATACATATAGATATTTATTATATTTACAAATGTAAAAAATATTTTAAAACTTTATATAAAATATACAATATAAATATATAAATAAATATTATATAATATGACACATTTAATATCATTTATGTAATACATTTAGATAGTTTATATGTCTATATTAATAAGATATTAACATATATTATATAAAGTCTTAATATATTCTATAAAGTTTCTTTTTTCTTCTTTTTATTTTTGTTTAAAAAAACCAAGCCAAGCCGCTGCTTATTGGATAAGGTTTTCAAACATAAAAGGGACCTGATCATTTTACTGCTGCAGTGTTGTGCAGTGTGGCTGTAACCCTATTTATTTGATTTTGTCCCCCACTGATGGACATTTAAATGGTTTTCATTTATCCTTCATCACAAGAATACTTCAGACATGTAACTGTGCACATATGTGAGTTTTTCTGTAGGATAGGTATTCAGAATGCTTCCCCCATTTTATTCAAGTCAGAGGCTCAACTGTGAAATGCAAAAACTTGTAAAAATGAGAAGGATTAGACATGAGCCTGTTGCAGCAGAATGGAAGGAAAAGGCTGGATATGGATGAGGAAAGCACGTGTTTTTTTTTTTTTTTTTTTTACCCATAGCTGCATTCTGGCCCTGGAGTTTTTGTTTTTATTTCTTTTATTTTTTATATTTAGCACCAGCAGCTGTCATGGCTGGGACTACAGGCATGCGCCACCATGCCCAGCTAATTTTTTTTCTATATATATTAGTTGGGCAATTAATTTCTTTCTATTTATAGTAGAGACGGGGTCTCACTCTTGCTCGGGCTGGTTTCGAACTCCTGATCTCGAGCAATCCGCCCGCCTCGGCCTCCCAGAGTGCTAGGATTACAGGAGTGAGCCACCGCACCTGGCCTAGGAAATGCTTTGAGTGTCGAGAGTATCTACTGTAATTAGATTCATGCCCAAGTGACCACTCTGGACCTCATGGAGGAGTATTACTGTAACCTTGAGTTATTGGTTAAAAACATATCAACATATCATTATCACCTTTATCAGTATCATCTCAATTACTTTTTTTTACCTTTTCAATGTATAGTTTTAATTGGCCAACTAATATATATAGTAAAAAATTAGCTGGGCATGGTGGCACATTCCTGTAGTCCCAGCTACTCGGGAGGCTGAGGCAGCAGGATTGCTTGAGCCCAGGAGTTTGAGGTTGCTGTGAGCTAGGCTGACGCCACGGCACTCACTCTAGCCTGGGCAACAAAGCGAGACTCTGTCTCAAAAATAAATAAATATATATATAAAAAAAAGAAATAAAAACAAAAACTCCAGGGCCAGAATGCAGCTATGGGTAAAAACTTTTATCCAGTTCAAAACCAAAAACAACAAAAGGGAGTTAGAGACAATCTCTTTCTGTGTTCCAGCCATGCGGTTCTCCTCCCAGAGCCAACCAGGGTCAGCGGTCTCCTCTGCATCCTTCCAGAGGTAGTTTATGCATAAGCAAAAAAAGAAGTGCTCTCTCTTTTGTTTGCCCTTTGAAAATCATCCATGATTGTACATCATGTACATAGTCTGCACCTCTTTCTTATTAAATACTGAGAGATTATTCCATTATGAAAAAACAGCTTCCTTTTTTTTTCTCGTGGCATTCCACTGTGAGCATGTGCTGTTGTTTATTTAACCAGTCCTCTCTTGATGGGCACCTTGGCTGGTTCCAATCTTTATTGTTATACAGCACTGCTACAACGAACAACCTTGTGTAATTGTCATCGTGCACATGTGTAAGGACACATGTAGGACACCTTCCTAGGGGCGGAATTATTGCATCAAAGGGTAGGTTCATTTAAAAAAAAAATTGCAAGTGTCCCTCCATAGAAGTCTTGCCAATTTGTACCCTTATGTGATTTGTTTCACCTTCACCAATGCTGGTGACATTGAGTGTTGTGTTATTTGCCAATCGGATAAGTGAAAAATGGTATCTCAGTGCGTGTAATCATGGGACTTTTTTCAGTATGAGGACAGCCAAATTTCTGCATCTCCTTTGCTAGATTCAGGGCACCCTAGGGTGTTACGTGTGTTTTTTCTTCCAC